ATCTACTAAAAAACCCATCAAGCCTCACTTTTTATTTAATAAACTAGTCAAGTGTCTAAAAAACCCTTAACTTAATCTCGAAGTAATTTGTCCAGCAATTAATTTGCAATCTTCCAGCCAGCCTATAATAAATAAGCTCTGGTAATTTTCAGTTGGTGCAATTGAAAGTGAACTGCAGCTTAAAAAATAGATCTCTAAAATCACAAATGGTCCTTGCCTAGGGAAATTGTAGTGCCTGTATTAGCTGATCAATAGCTTATGAGCAGTGCTGATGTTTTCAGTAGTGTCCCAAAGCTGCACTGACTGAAAAGTAGAAATAATTTACAGTATTAAATGGAATAATTTAACCTCATTTTCCTTCCACTTAACTTCCAAGGGCTCTCTTCTGCCTTTAGGAAAAACAACAAATCTCACCGTAATGAAAGAGAATTTTGTGCAGATGTTGAGGTTAATATCTGACCTCGAGCTCTGTGTTTCCTCTGCAGAGCCTTGTCTCATTTATCCATGGAAAAATGGGGAAATTTCCAACAGAGTCAAAGGATTTACTGCAGAATTAGGTGGCTTTAAAGAAAATCTGTTTGGAAATGAGAGTTTATAGCTAACTGGGTAAGGAAAGGGCAAAATTCTTTTCAAATATTTATCTCTGAACACGATTGCAATAGAACTTTAGCCTTAATATTTTTTTAAATAATTTAAAACCTTTTTGAAACGGGGGAATGAAAATTCTAGAGAGATGGAGGATGAACTGAGTGCTTGAACAATTTACTGCACCCAGGTTGAGAAATTTTCACTGAGTTTTTAAACCCTTAAATCAATATTGTGCAATTTTTACGTAACTTTTAGAAAAATCTCAGATCACACCATGAGATTAATCCATAAGCAGCAAGAGTATCAGTTCTGATGTGAATGGAAATGAACTCATTTCGTTATACACCTAAACCTAAAACTTGCAGTTTAGTGCATGACATCAATATTTTTGTGTGCTATCCGAGGTGTGAGGGAGGATTTAAACAATCCTGTATGAAGGATAGAACCACATGAAAGTAGGATGAGAGAATTTGGGTTTCTTTGTTTCTTTTTTCTCTTTTTTTTTTTTTTCTCCTTTTTTTTCCCCGAGAGGAAAATATTCTGCATCCATTTTAGCACCAGATTTATCATTTCAACTTATTCAATAGCATTTTAGGAACACAGCTTTGCAAAGCAAGAGCTCCTGATAAGCAGGTTAAAAGCTGGAAGCATTAGGAGCAGCCAGTGCTTCTACAGGACTAGACTCCTCCTTGGTTAATACGTTAAATCATTGACTTACAAGGGATAAAACCTTAGGATAAGTCAGGTCTTGTTGCTCTGAATGGATGAAAGGTGGTTTATGGGCTTTATTAGAAACTTTAAGTCTATTTTCTCCACTCACAGAACTCTAAACCTATTTTTCCTACATAGTCCACGCTGCTGGAATAAGCCACAAGAACACTGCTCTGCTTTCACCCCTCCTCTGCTGTGGTTTGGGGATTCATCTTCAACAGGGGATGCACAAATCTGACACGAGCCCATCTTAAAAGGAGCAACCCATGGGCAGAACACTGAATGGCATGAATGAAATGCAAGTTTTTTGTGCTTTCCCTAAGGAAAAAAGGCTCCACTCCTGCAGCGACTGAGCTGGTTGTAAAGGCAGATTGTGCTCCTTTCAATTTGCACTGGCCAGCCCAAAAATGAGACTCACATTGGCAACAGAATAAAAAGAAGAAGATAAATATCTGAACCATCACCCCAAACAGGGTACTCCCCAAAAAATCAGGGGACAAATTCCTGCACCCTATTGCTTCAGTAAAAGGGTAGGACTAAGAGCTCTAATGCTCCTTTCTGGTTTAAAGCAATTTTTGATCTAAGAGCCTCATTTTTTTAGCTTTTTCCCTGCAAGGTGGCTATTGCCAAACAAGGCAACTAACTAACTTGCCCAAAGTTCTGCATGAGATCTAAGGCAAGACCATGAAGAGATTCCTCTTGCCTGGCTGTAACTGTGCTGGGTGGTTTTCTTTATGGTTGTGCTTATCTCCCTTTGTGTAGCTGATTCCTTCCCCTATGATCAACTATCTCGCTACACATCCTGGAACTGCCCATCAACAGGAAAATGCAACACCTTTCAAAACCAGTGGGCTTCATTTTTCTTCAAAAATGAACAAGTTAGTGAGCCTGGAATGAACAGATTGCAATGCTAACGTGTTAAAAAGGGATGCCAGAGCAAATCAGATCTGCCACGTGTAGGTTAAGCAGCAAAATGCAAAGCAGACAACTTGAAGTCAAAGAGAAGGATCTTCTTTCAGTTACATTTTGTTTTAAGTGTCTAAAATTCTTCCAATAGCCACAGAAAAAGGATTTTTTTAAACAACTCTCCATTGACTTCAGTGCAGCGTTTCAGGCTTGCAGCCCAAGCTGTGGGTGCTCACAAGGGAACCTCTTAGTCCAGTGGTTTCCATCCTTTTTGGATTGGGTCCTTCCAATAGATCAGCATCTTTGCATAGTGTGAATTTAAACATAATGACAAGAAGTTTTGAGATCTGGCATTGGGCTGTGCACTGTCACTGACTGCAGGTCAAGGCTCCTAAACCACTGGACTAATGGTTTCCCAAATTGTGACAGTAGGTTTGGCTCAGTATCAACAACACAGAAAGGCAGGAGGATAAAAACTAAAATAGTTGCTACTAAAGGCCCTTGGGTGCCTCAGGAGACTCTGACAACAGTCGTTCCACAGAACCAAGGATAAATCAGGTAAAACTTGGGCCCTCTGTGCAGGTGAGCTAGGAGACAGACACAGCCTCTAGTTTCTGTTGTAGTAGTACCACACAGCAGTAATGTTGTCCTCTTGGTGAAGTTACAGCCAATCCCCTTTTCACAAAGGATTGTAAGGAGGGAAATGAGAAAGCCTTCATGAGCTCCATCCGTCCTCCAGTTCTTTGCCAGATGAACCTGGTTTTCCCATAGGTTGATCAAGGCTGGTTATTGATTCTCAAGAAAGCAACGAATTCCCTCCTCGGTCAAGTGCCTTATGCCAAATGCATCCCTGCTGGGATTCTGCTCAGAATAATCCTCTTGCTCCATGGATGAGCCTGCTCTTTGCTCCACTGGCCTGAAGCAGCTCTCCCTCTGCTCCTCCCTGCAGGTGACTCAGGGATCTATTTCCTTCCCTACTCCCAAGTTCCAGCAATTGCACATCACGGATCAAAAACTATTTCAGAACATTTCTGAAACTTCCAGGCAAACTCCAGTTAAACTTCTTCAGCCAAGCTCATGGAATTTTCTACTTCTGACTGTGGGAATGACAGCACAGGAGTAATTCAGGGCTGAACACATACGTTTGCAACCCCAAGAGCTGAACGATGCTCCTGTTGTACAACCCTTGTTTGTTTTTATAACATCTTCTGCCTTGGTACAAGGGAAATTCATCAAGACATGCCACATTAGCAGTGATTTGTTTGTGATTCCTCTACAACATGGATACAACTTGTTTTTCTCTCTTTAGGGCAGAGCAAGGACAAAGCATTCAAGTTCTTCAAGGTTGCTATCCTAGTATCAAACTCCCTGTGACTCTTTTGAATGATTTGATGGTACTCTGGGAAAGGACTACAAGGAAAGCAAGGATAAAACACAACCAAGCTCAGGATACTAATCTAACCAGGCTGTTGTGTCTGAATCCTCTTAATATACTAACACAACATTAGTGTCTGTAGAGGACTGGCCCACAGGTCCATCCAGACCAGAACCCCATCTCAGACAGGGACAACAGAAGAGACCTATGGAAAATGATGGAAAAAAAATTAAAAATATGTGAAGTACCATTTTCCCTGAGTATTTTTCCAGACTGCAATCATCTGCTGCTCAGCAGCCTCTTCAGTCAGAATGCCTTTGTGTCTGATGGGTCTTGGGAACGTTGGTGACAAGGATTATCCCCTGTCAGGAGCACAGCTGAAGCTCTGCCATCAGCACAAGACAATGTGAAAACACTCAAAATGAGGAAAATAGGTTCTGCAGCTGTTGGTAAACCTCTGGCTTTTGTTGGCCATGTTTCCATGTGGGGTTACCTGTGGGACAAGGTCTCTGACCCCAAGGTGTGCTGGCATGGAATGGACGGTGTCTATTCTAGTCCTATCTCTTACCCTCCAAAATATGTTTATCTATTCTCTATTATAGATGGTCCCTTGGCTGTATTATCTCCTGAACCACTGCTGGAAACTGTTTGAGAACAGCAGTGCTGGCTGGCCCTTTCTCAGCCACCCAAGGACACTTCTAAGATGTATAAAGAACTAATTTCCTACTCCAGGAAATGTTCCTTATGCAGATGTAGCCACTAATTTAAGTGTGGTGGTGATGGGTTTATGAAGAAATCCCTTTGATAAGAAAGTATCTTTAGACAGTCACATCCTAAAGGTGTTAAGAAAGAGCTGTGCTGTTGGATGGGTTTGGAATCTGTTCCTGCCACCCTACCCATTCAGGTGAAACAAAAAGGAACAGAGCCTATGGCTGTGTTGTGTGCACTGCCTGAACACTCCTAGACACTGGATGAGCTCATATTGCTCAGGATGTACTGCTGCCAGTCCTGCTTCCTCAGTCATTCCAGGTGATCTTCAGTGGGATTTCAGAAAGGATCACAACACGCCTCCAGCTTTATTTACTGGCCCCTGTTTTTTCTCACCATTACTGACTCATGTTCTGCCAGCCTGACACATTTTCAAGCATTGAAACAGGAACAGAAGCATTTTCCTTGCACTGGTGGTGGTGTGACATACCCTTCATCTGCTCCTCCTTTATCATATAATGCCTTTATGAGCATTATATGATGAAGTTGATTTGCCAGGATTGGAAATCAACAGATGGTGATGGGTATAGAGCTGAGCTGCAGTATACCCATGCACATCTTGGTAGACATACAGGTACATGGACACCAACAATCAACATGGATAAGATGGCAAATATATTCATCAATCCTCAATGAGGTAGTTTGAGAGTAATTCACTGCCATACTTACAGAGCTGGTCAAGGATCATACCTTCTATGGTGATGGCTTGGTCTCCTCTCCTCTGCTGGGTCAGGGCTGCAGCACTGTGGTGGTAAAGTTCTGCTCCACTTTTGGCAGACCCTAATCTGTTCATCAGCTAAAGAGAACCATGCAGTGCCAAATGAAACACACAGGGTGGTTTGGCATAACAGAACCTGCCTGTGCTACATCCCAAATCCATTGCAGTTACATCACAGCAGAAAGGGATGAAGAGGTGATCCCTCAACACCAGAGTTGGAACGAACATATTGCTGCTGAGTGGAGTTCAATTAAAAAAAACACAAATGGAAGGTAATGTGATTTTGCTAAAATTCTAGTAGAAATCTTTAAATTATCTCCAACTCCCCCAAAGCTTTCTGTGGAATAACTGTGAAAATGCTGGGAGCTGAGCTGTTTACACATCAGCTGACCCACACTAACTTCCCAAACCAAGGTCAATAGATTTTGTTGCCAAGCCTTGAAAGTTTAATACTATTTTATTACAATGAATGAATAACCCATGTCTAATTGTTAAAAAACACTTTACAGTACATTTTTTTTAACTTATTAGATACTTCTATGTATGCTTGCTAAATAAACTGGAATTTCAGTGATTTATTCTTCTATTTAGACTTCATTTCTTTTTTATTGGCTTTGAGTGGTTTTTTTGTAATGGCATGAATCTGCTCATTTAAAGATGGCCCAGAAACTAAATGTCCTGCCAGAATGGCCCTAAACTTTGTGAGAGGTACTTCTAGAGATCTGGATCTAAACTGAAGCTACAGAACAAGCTCATTCAATTATTATTTGAACCACCAAAATCTCAGATCAGAATATGATGAAGCTTTTGGATGTTGACAATTCAGATCTATTTCAGGAGAACCTGTCTTTATATAATTTGTGGTTTTTTTTGTATGTCAGGCAGCAGCAATTACTCAGCCACTCATCTCAAACAATGGATCTCTCCCAGTAAAATGAATCCTACCTATGTCCTGTCAGAACACAGATCTTTAAATCTCTCTGAACTTACCTGACATTCGTAGTGTCCCATGTCTTCATTGGAAGGGTTCTTGACCACCAGGACCAACATGCCACTTCGTGGTTCACTGAAAGTCTGGTATTTACTCGTGTCCTTCAACAGGACCCCATCTTTGTACCATCTGCATGTGGAAAACACTGAGTATAAGCCAGGAAAGAATAAGCAACGTCAAGGAGTGGCCACTCACTGATCCCTCTACTAGCCCAGTGGGCAAACAACTCAAGAGTTGATCATTAGGCAAACATTAGGATCCTGGAAAACAGGTCTCTAGGTGAGTAGACCACAGATAAGTCAGGGATTATCTTTTCAGGGTATTTGTGTTCAGATGCTAGCTCGAGTGAATGGCTGGGAATCTCAGGAAGACTGGGAAGAGCCAGCACAGAGATGGGATTAAGGTGGAGGACAAAGGAAAAAGGGTCCTAACCTTGAAAGAAAGGGCAGAAGACTCTGGGAAAACAGGATTTGTTCCAGGGTGACTTGAAGAACTGACCTGATCTGAGGCCTGGGTGCTCCTTCGATGGTACAGGTAAACTGAGCATCTTCCCCCTCGACAAAATAAGCATTCCTGACCTTGTTCACAAACCGTGGTGGGACTGCAAAGCAAGGAGAAATGTAGTTAGTAGCTGGAAGTATGACCAGACACAGAAGATGTGTCCTTGACCAGATAATTCTCATCATGTCTTCGCACAAGACACTAAAGCCCCAATTTTTTGACCTAAGAACAACGGATTGTACCTATCAAAAGATAATTTTAAGTGTTGTCCAGTAGATGTTACACAGAACTTCTAGAATGTCTTATTATTCCTCTTTGAGGTATTGCAGAGCAGATCCCCTTACAACAATGCATCTGTGTAGGACTTTACCTTGAACAAGGATCTTTCCTAAGGTACTGGCATTTCCAGCAGGACTGGAAGCAAAGCACATGTACTGTCCTGAGTCAACACCCGTTAGGTTGTCCAAGATCAACGTGCAGGAGCCATCTGGATCCTCTATGATAATGTGATGGGGATCCACCTCCACAGGCTTTCCATCTGGAAGATAAAGAAGGAAAAAAGTCTTTGTAAGGAGTTTAGCATCCATTGTGTTTTCTCCTTGGGAATGTCATCCAGTTTTTTGGCTTGAGAGGACCAAGAGCTGTATTTGCTTTATTGCACTGATGTTGGTCCTTGAGGAATGAGCTCTTCATCTTCATCCAGCTCTCTGCAAAACATCCCCTGGGCAAAGCACTGTTGAGTGACCTCATACGTTATCCATCCTCACTGAAAAGTTAAACTCTTCCAGAGTAGTTGTAGCTCTGATTTGCTAGCCAAGGAACACTTCCCAAATGACTGTAAACAGGCAGAGCAGGTCTTTGCAAGGCATGAACTTAAAGCAAAGCTGTCTCCTCTGCAATTCAGTAACACTGGGCAAAAAGAGGGTGTCCACACAGCTGCTGTGCTATGACATGGAAACATCTCAGCTAGTTCAAAAAGTAGCTCATTTGCTAGAAGTTGTCTAGTTTCCACAAAATGGGGCTTTTTACAAAGGATTCTAGTGATAGGACATGGGGTAGTGGCTTTAAACTGAGATTTAGATTAGAAACTAGGAAGAAGTTCTTCATCATGAGGGTGGTGAGACCCTGGCACAGGTTGCCCAGGGATGTTGTAGATGCTCCATCACTGGAGGTGTTCAAGACCAGGTCAAATGGTGCTGTGAGCAACCTGGTCTGGTGGGAGGTGTCCCTGCCCATGCTCAGGGGGTTGCAGCTGGATGATCTTTAAGGCCCCTTCCAACTCAAGCCATTCTATGATTCTACATGTCCTCATACAGGCTAACAGGCAGTCCTGAAGAAGAAGGGTTTATTGGCTCACAGGAAGATGTTGCTTGGGTTGCTTAGTAGCTAACTTCAAGACTAGATTTGGGTATCTCTAGGTGATCAGCATTTAGATTAGCCACTAGCCAATTAGCACAAAGCAACAGAGATGGAGAACTAATCTGGAGGATGCCCTTTATGCCTTGCTGCTCATACCTTTGTACCAGCTGACAGATGGCTTGGGAGCTCCTGTAACTTTGCAAGCCAGCTTGACTGTCTCTCCCAGCTCAGCCGTGCAGTCTGCCAGCTCTTCCTCAAAGTCTGGAGGTACTGAAACATCAGAACGAGCATGTTAGTCCAGAGGAAGGGGGCTCTGAACCTAGGATGGCTGCTGGAAGAGGAGAATAGGTCTCATTTTTCCAAACCTATGAGGTTCAGAATGGAAAACTGAAGAGAACATTTTAGCAGCTAATGACTTCCTAGGTGACATGTTGTCCTCACTCATCTGAGGCTGAATTCAGACTGCCAAGTGTCTGTCGTTGGCTATAAAGATAGGCCATAAAAATAAAATGGGATTTGTTGTTGATTTGGAAGAATTTTAGGCCATGATTTTAATAAGCACTTCCATTATTCAGACATGGCTGTCACAGTTAAGACAATTCCTCAATTAAAATGCATCCTCCCTATCCAAATTAGCATTCTGTTGGTCTCCATACAATTAAAATCTATTCTTTCTAAAGGGATTTTTATTTTCTTTTATTATTACCACAGGAAACTGCACAAAATTATTCTGATACTTTTCCTCATTAGAACATCTCGCTAAAAGGATAAAAATAAAGTGCCCAGGCTCGTTTTCAGTCTAAATACTCTAAACCAAGTTCTGTTCTGGCATTTTAAGATCCCAGATTTTCATATGCTGTAAAGGGCATCGTTTGCAGCTTAGACCTGGATGATAAAGATCTAATATCCCTGCTGATAAATTTTGTGGATAGAAAATTGGACTCTCAAAAGACAGTGAGGGTGAAGCAGCCTGAGGGACAAGATAAAAATCCAAAGAAAATCTGTGTGCCCAGATACAGCAAGGTGAGTCAAAGTCTGGAGTGGAGGATTCAGCACCCAACAAAGTTATGGTGGCCTTTTGCTGGGGTGAGTAGGACTTTGGGTCAGGTCCTGAGGCTGCTTTTCTCACTGGAGACTGATGCTCTTCATGGAGCTGGTGAAAGGTCTAGAGAATAAGTCTTACAAGGATTAGCTGAGGGAACTGGGGTTGTTTAGCCTGGAAAAACAGAAGGTCAGGGGAGACATTCTCACTCTGAACAACTCCATGAAAGGAGGTTGTAGAGAGGTGGGGGTCAGTCTTTTCTCCCAAAGAACATAGGTGCAGGAGGACAAGAGGAGACACCATCCTCTGCTGATTGACAAAAACATATATGAAGACAGAAAACTGAGCAACCAATCCAGGCTCTGACTCTGATCCTCCATCAAAGGCAACCAACTGAGATCAGCTGAAATGGGCAAGGGTAGCCAGCTCTTCTCAGCTCATCAGCCTGTGTTCTCCACACTTGGGTTACAGACATTGAAGAGCAACTAGAAAGTTACTAATCTTCTTTGTTATTGCCTAAAAACAGAAGTCCTGTGGGACCTCTACCATGTAAACACAGACACTTGAGTGATACACAGTCTTGGCTCCCTCGATGCTACCTGGAGGGAGTCAAACCCCACTGTCCCACCCTGGTAAAGGTGCCTTCCCCTGCTCAGGCAGAGGACATAGCTCTGCTACAACCATTCCATTGAAAACTTACTGTGGGCTGTCAAGTCACGTGGAGTTATTTACAGCAGCCTGTGTTGTGATTAAAGGCAAACCTCCAGCTCTGGTTCAGTTTAAGAGGTGGCCAAAGACCCTAAATACCTTCTCACCCTCTTCTGCTAATCTCCTTCATGAATCAGGGCGACCACCCAGGACACAAGTGAGAGGTTTGGGCTACCTGAGGCCATACTCACTCCAGAGAGGCTCGTTGATCCTCTGCTGTATGCCACAGATGTCCTTCACCCAGGAGTTCTTGATGATGACCGTACGTGCCTGAAGGAGATACTTGCGGACCAAGTCCTCCCGCTCGTGCCAGATCTCAAAGGCTCGGTCATCCCCTTCCACCAGGTCGTTCACATCTATGTTGTTCAGCTGCAGGATGGGAGGAGGGTGAGAAAGTCAACACTTTCATGTTCTTCAAGTCAACCACCCGTGTTCTCAGGGCTGAACCTTTCCCACAGCTGAAATCCCAGAGTTTAGGACAGTTCAGATCTAGTCTTTCTGAACCAAAACCATCTTCAATGGAGGTCTGAAATGGAAATGATTAGGAAAGACCAACAAGTAGCAGCCTCCTGTTCCTTGTGTTCCTTCTTCAGTGGACATGAGTCGTGCCCTAAGCTATATTAGATGCTCCAACAGCAAAAAGGATCATCAAAACCACTTTTAAGGATTTTTCAGCCTGCATGAGCAATGCAACGTGGTTTTGGCTGAAGAGCAGTCAGGGACTCTTTGCAATCCTTTCCCTGGTATACTTGACTTTTTGGTTACCAAAATTTGGTGAGGACATTTGAGGAAAACAACATCCAGCATGAAAGAGTATCCCAAGGATGGGACACACCAACCCTAGATCTACAAATGCTAGCAAATATTGTGGAGAGCAGAACATCCATGAGCTAACAGATAAATAAACACTTGTAGGTGTAAGCTCATGGCTACACCACAAAAATCCACTCTGGCTTCTGATGGTTTCTGACAGGTTTCAGAGAGATTTTAGAATAAACATAGATTCTACTTGTGCTCCTAAATCTTTCAGGAATAGCTCAAAAGGATGAGTGAAATGTCCCATGTGTATGACTAGAAGCTAGACATAAACACGAAGTTCTCAATGACAAAGAAATGCTCTAGGTGGGGATATAATGATCAGACCTTCATGATGTTCTTGAAGATGTAACTGTAAGTGTCTGTCTTGGTGTCTCGCTTTGGTTTGCAGATGACAATATAATTTTTGAAGAGGAAGACGTGTCTTTTGTGTCCTTTCCATGCCATTCTAGCTCCTGGAGCTCCTTCCCACACAATGAATTGGCCCTGAGAGGAAAAAGAAGAGCACATAGCAAGAACTCTGGAATATTTACCACAACGATGTCTCACCACCATTTTTCAGTGAACAGATAAATGTTTACTGTTAGATGGTCACTATCTCTTGTTTTTACATCACAGCAGATGGTTTCTCATGGTGAAGGTGACCCATCAGACTGAGCACCAACAGGGGTGCACACAGTGGTTGTCAACCCAAACCATTCTATGATTTTAGGGGTTCCTAAACCCTAAACCATTAAGGAGAGGTAACCAATCTTAAGAAGTGATTCACAGGACTCTTTTGTTTTTCCAGATGTCTAAATGTGGATAAATGAATCCCCACCAGTGTGTCTCACTATCACTTACCAATCATAATAGAGGAAGAAGAAAAAATAAAGTGTTTTAAGATCATGTAGGGGCCCAGAACCAATTTATTTCTGTTTGATGGGCAGGTTGGAAAGGCACATGACTACATGATGTGTGAATTTTAATCTATCTGTGCTCTGGTGCTTCAAACCTTAATCAAGCCACGAGACACCTCTCTCTGAAGAGTAAGCCAAGCAATAAGCAAACCACCTCTTTCAGATATTATTTCTAGCTTCTTGTAGGACCTGAGGCTTCTTAGATCCTACTGAAGTCATGCATAACCCTAGGACTGACTGAGAAATTCCAGTTACCTGTCGGATGGGTTCACCCAGGCTTTCCAGGGTCCCTGGGTAATTCTCAATGAGTGAGACATGGAGGTTGTTTTCTGCTCTTCGGCTGAGTGCAGACACAATGGCATAAGCCTGCTCCAGCAAAGTGCAGTTTTGGTTGTTTCTTGCTTTGTTTCGGATTAATTCCTGCAAGAATGAAAAAAAAATGTTACTGGGAAGTCAGAACTAAAAACATTTCCTTGATAGCCAAAGAGTTTCTCAGTATCTGTTGCCAGCTCTTTCCTCTGAGCAACATCTGCCCCATTATTTCACCATGTGCTGCTTAGCCACTAAAATCTCCTCTTTCTTACCCATTCTGTAGCCTCATTGACTAGTCAATCTGGCTTCTCCTTACTTCAACTGGTACTAAATTAAAGCAAAATTAAAGCAAGTACCAGACAGGCTTCAGTGTTTGAAAACATAACAAGACCCCAAAGCAATCTGAAATAGCTTTTCTCTTGTGTTTGCCTTGGCAATACCAGGAGGCAAGAAATACATGGGCCAGTGCTAAATGAAGAGGCACAATTAGATGAAAAACATGGGAGGATGGAAAAAATATGAGATGGCAGTTATCCTTTTCTTCCACACTTGTTCCTGTCCCTCTCCCTTAGCAAGGAAGGCGTGGAACTCACTCTCTTTTCCAAGAGACCCTTTAAAATGTTGGCCTTTGTGTAGAGGCAGGTGTTCAAAACCTAAAAGTTGATCTGAGCTTTCTTCAAACCATTCAAATTGCTCTTTTCCATACTGTTAGAATACAGAAATAATCTGGAATTCTACTTCCTGGCTACTTCCATGAAAAATTACTTAAAAAATGGATGGTAGAATGGGGGGAAGTTTGTCAGAAAACAAAATTTTCATCTTATTGTAGTGTCAGTATAAAACACAAGGAGAGAAACTGATAAATTAATATCTTAGGCATTGGAAAATGTTTTGAACCTCTACTTGGATGGACATTTACAGGAGTATTTAGAGAGCACACCACTGGTGTTGGTTACTGCCTTAGTTCCTCAAGCAACTTTCAGCTGTAGTTGCAACAGGAGGAAGCCAAGAAATGTGAAATAAAATATTTGTCTCCATAAGCCACAGAAAGCAGAACATGAACCCATCAGGTAGGAACATAACAAAAGCTCTTCACCTTGATTATAGTCTGGTACTGCTGGATCCTGTTTATGGGTTTCTCCAGGTAGTGCTGCAGTGGTGGGATAAGTGGCTGTGAAGGATCTTCATTAGTTAAAAATTCATCTGTATACCTCTGAAAAAAAATATGTAGAAGAACGAGGGAAGCTTATAAAGAACAAACCATAGAATGGTTTGGGTTGGAAGGGACACAGTAAAAAATGTCTTCCTGTTACCTAATCTAAATCTACCTTCTTTCTATATAAAAAGAGAAATAGTTCCTAAAAATAGTTTCTCCTTGTCCTATCACTATTCTCTGACAATAAGTCCCCACTCATCCTTTTTTAATGCTCCTGTGATGCTGGTTCATAGACCTAACTCAGCCAAAACTAGACAGGCTCTAGCAGAACTTACTACCTCATATTTTGGACATCTGTAACCCTCCACCATCCTTTGCCAGCTACTTATTATTTTAGACTCCAAGATGCCTGGCATAGTGAATTTACTTCCTTTTCCTCTGTGGAACTGATGCTGGGGAAAGGTGAGACAAATCTCAAGCAAACTTCAAGCTGGACTAGATACAATAAGAGACCCAGAGACTCAAGAGATCCATGACCATGCGTGTGCTCGTGGGTCTGGAGGATGCTCTGTGTGTATTCAACTAGTGAACATCAATCCTGAGCAGCTGGAATTGGATTTCCCTATATATATATATATATCTATGCTTTATGTGAGTTTGGTCATATAACATGGTGGCCCTTAAAGCATCAATTAATTACAATTATATATTTGTATAACTTTTATACTATTAATAATTGCATAAGCTTATGTAAATATAGTCCTGTACCAACGAGGATGAGCTGGATGAGTACAAAATTATTCTATTTAGCCATGATTTCCCCCAGAAATACTTAATAATCCATTTCAGGGTGACAGTTGTTATTAATAACGACACTTCTTGGTGCAGTGGGTGAGAGGATCCATGCTCAGCAGGTACCTGGGCTGCTGCTTTACCTTGTAGAAATCCTGGACAGCTTTGCTGACAACCACAGACTCAGCCTGAACCCTCCCCACCAGGTACTGGATGTACTTGTTAAACTCTGCTTCATGCTTGATGAAGCACATGGCCACATCATCATCAGTGTCACACTTCTGCAGGCCTCGGAGGAAGACGCTGTGGAGACAAAGGGAAAGGACAGCTGAGGAGCTGGAGTGAGGTGAGAGCACAGCCCCAGCAGCCAGGCCTTCAAATCAGGGGATTTCAGGCTAGCACACGTTGAAGGAGTGTGTCTAAAGATGTGCAGTGGAGCTGGTGAAGGGTCTGCAGCACGTGTCTTATGAGGAGCAGCTAAGGGAGCTGGGGGTGCTGAGCCTGGAGCAAAGGAGGCTCAGGGGAGACCTTCTGGCTCTGCACAGCTCCTGACAGGAGCCTGGAGCTGGGTGTTTTGCATGTCTCGATGCTGGCATCAGTTTTCCTAGACTGGTTTGGGTTGGAAGGGAACTTTCAAGGTCATCCAGTCCACCTCTCCCTGCAGGGAGCAGGGACATCTGCAGCTAGAGCAGGGTGCTCAGAGCCCAAACCAACCTCCCCTGGGATGGTTCCAGGGATGGGGCAGCGACCACCTCTCTGGGCAGCCTGAGCCAGGGGCTTGCCATCCTCAGTGGCAAAAATTTCTTCCTTCTATCTAGTC